TTCAGCTCAAATATGTATGTGTGCAAATTCAGGTACATGACCATGTGATTGACCAAACCTCTTATAGGATATCTAGCCTGGACTATGCCTGAATAAAGGAAGTTTCAAACTTCAGATATTGTGCACAGCTGTGATTCCTGCCACACACATTGAGAATAGCAAAGGGATCTACAACTCCTGGCAGAAAGCATGGTCCTGTGATGAGAAGGCAAGAGGGGAATATTTCAACTCTGTGACATTGTCTCTCTTGAAGCTCTGCTGTATTATGACAAGAGTTATAAGAAATTCTGTATACTTCAGAACTTATTACTAACACTTTGCTTAAAATATTGTGAGTTGGTTCTGTTAATCCCAGTTGAAAATATGAATCCTGTATTAAAAAAATTAGATAAGAATTAGGAATGAACACCTATGCATATGTATGTATACATATGCTTATATGAAGAATATTTTCAAGTTGAATTAGTTAACACATTAATAGTCAAATCAAACAGTAGATATTAGAAATATATATTAGTATATATTAGAAGTAAACAAATAACAGCAATGCTTGATAAATTAATACTGAACACTTAGCAAACCATTATTAGTTTATAATGCTGTCACAAAGATATTCCTGAATGACCAGAATATGAATAAATTTGCTTATTATGATTAGAATTAACATGATATTTCAAATGGGAGCAAGACATTTTTGCTCATTTTTTTGCTAATTGTGGAAGACTTATTTTCCCTTACATGTTGCTATAACATACCATGAAAAAATTAAAATCCATTTGGATCTCTGATTGTATTTTAAAGCTCCAAGTCAACCACCAGCAAACATTGCCTGGAAGCTGTCAAACTCTAAATTATGCTTGAACTGGGAACATGTGAAGACCATGGAAAATGAATCTGAAGTGTTGGGCTACAAAGTGAGTATTTAGAATTCTAGTTAATCATATCATTATATTACTAAAGAATCAGCATTGTAACTGTCAAATAGAAACAAAATTTATGCATATGGAAGATTGGCGATTTTTGAAAATAGCATTGCTGCTTTCAAATTCTGCAGTACAAAGGTTTTGTTTTCTACATCCAGCAGCATCATAAGCAAAATCCTGGTGTATACAACATTTTTTCACCATATGAGTGCCCTTGCTATCAAAACTAGTGTTGCTGTTGATTTGTACATATGATACATGATTAAAGTCAAAGGATATGTTGAAGTAGAGTATATTTGACATTAGAATTTAGAGGGCAGTGTGATGTAGCCCCTTAACAGCATACAAAGAATGTAGAAGAACATCACTGAGTACCCAGAACAAATCATTCCTATTCCTATTGGTTGCAATGAACATCAACTCTGGAGATTACATATATATATTTCAGAAATTTTAAATGGTCCTAAACTGAGGCATGACTTCATAGGAAGCATCAAAAATAATAGCTTCAGATTCCATACTTAACTGAAATAAATATACTCTGATTCCAGGGACATTAACCCAAATCTGTAACCCAGCTGTCGGAGAACTTGCTGTGTAAACCAGGCAGGCCTCAGTCTTATAAAGGTCCTCAGCCTCTGCCTCCTGAGTGCTAAACTTAAGGATTTCACCTGTGCCACCACATTCAGCAAAATCGTTTTCTTAAAAATAAATTTTGGAGTACGGTGTGGTGGCCCAAGTCTTTAGCACTTTGGAGGCAGAAAGAGGCAGATGTCTATGAGATGGAGGCCAGCCTGGTCTATATAATGAGTTCCAGGCCACCTGGGCTACAGAGACAAAATCTCAAAAGACTAAATAAATAAATAAAGAAAGAAAGAAATAAAGAAATAAATAATAAACAAATCGTTTTTAATATTCGAACTGAGGACTACGGCACGCAGGTGATGCTCCACATGGAGCGTGCTGTGAACGTGTACCGTATCCTGCTCTGTAATAGCACCTGAACCTTCAGATAATTCCACTCTCATGTTAACTTGACTTACCATTTTATGCAGATTTTGTATCGGCAAAACAGACAGAGCAAAACTCATATTTTAGAAACCAATAATACGTCAGCTGAGCTTCTGGTTCCATTTGAAGAAGACTATTTGATTGAAATAAGAACAGTCAGCGACGGCGGGGATGGCAGCAGCAGTGAGGAAATTAGAATTCCAAAAATGTCAAGTAAGTTGAGTCACCACAGCTGAGGGAGACGTTTCAATGTAGACAGCTGCAGCATGGAATCTGAGCTTCTAGAACTTTCTAAGTCTTGTCTAAACATTGAGTGACAAAGTAAAAATTCTATATTTCCTTTTTAAATCATGAGCCAGAGGTCACAAGTCGGGTGTTCTCTAAATCATGTCAAATTGACAGTGGGCATGTATTTTAAAATTTTATTTCCCTCACTTAAAAATACAAAAACAGAAATGAAAAAAAGAAAAGGTGGGGGGAACTGTGTATCCTTGAGGTATAGTTTCATGATTCATTATATTGGTACAAAATTCAGGAAGAATTTTTGTTTTTTGTTTCTGTTTTCACGAATGCCAAAGACGTCAAGTAGGATTGATGAACAAGAGACTGTGTGTACCTTTCTGTTCGTTTGTTCATCACAGACATCACTAATCAATCCTAGCATTCAGGCTGAGTTGAATCCTACTCACTAACATTCCTCAAGTAGGTGAGGCCTGGAGTTACCAGGTAACAGTATTTAACTGTCTTTGCTTTAGAAGTGCCAAGTCCTTATCTGCCTGAAGCTCTAACCAAGTAGAAGTCACTGATTGCCCAATATTAATATGTTTTTCAAGCAGGCTTCATTGATTTTGGCACTTTTTCATTTTTACATTTTTAAGCTGACATCCTAGGAGAGAGAGGACAGTCAATTCTTAAAGGTAAACATAATGTAAATGAAATGTAGTAAAATATATTATTAAAATGCAAACATGACCATATGATTTCTTTCTTGCAGAAATAATTTAATAAGTTGTTTTTCTTTCTCCGAAGTCATTATTTTATATTTCTGTTTTTCAGGTTTGAGTTCCAGAGGACTACCGATCTTAAAACCTCGTATCAAATTCCTGTTGACTGTCCAGATTTTTTATTGTTTTGCTATTCAACCATTTACACGATGAATAAAACTATGAATATTTGGAGTTTTCTGAAAGCAAACCCTTCTGTAAATATGTTCTCCAGCCTCCATCACAATACATATTCTTAATACAGACATGTTTGGAAAGAAAAAAATGTATATTGTTAAGATCTGGTAAATATCTGTGGTACATTAATAAAATGGTTTTAAACAATTTTGAATTTTAAAACATCATTATAATATTCAAGGGTACCAAGTTATTCTGGGAACATAAAACTTCTGTCTTTCCAAGACTTACATGGAGAATATAAACAACCACCGTTGATGATGATGATAGAAAGGAGACATGTAAATCCCAATTTACTTCAGTATTTGAAATCACTAGCCTTGTTTGAAACAGAATATAATCATGTGTTCATAGTCAGGAGCCTTTAAAGGTAAAACCTCATCCAAATAATGGTTCGTCTATCTTTGAGTCAAATTGGAAAAGTAATTTTTGTACCTGAAAATGTGTCTGCATGCATGGTTTTCTAAGTGCTTAGAAGGTTTGATGATATAATGCAGAGAGAGTGTATGTCAAAGAAACAGACACGAAGACAAGTGGATTTCCACTCAAGATAATATTTTATAGTAAGCAAGTCCCCCTAACAAAGTTAACTCTTTTAGCAGAATACATATTCTCCTAAATTGAAATTATACAAACAAATCTCAGGTAATTATTATAAACTGATAGTGCTACACATGGCCTTATTTTTATATAATAAAAAATTCTGCAAACCAAATTATTGGACCAGATTTTTATGTCTTTGTCATGGCACATTTTTCTCAAACTTCTCTGCAACCATAAAAACAAAAATCTTGCATGAACCCAGATTTAAGAGACTTTTGTGAGTTAACCCTTCTCCTGGGTGAACCTGTTTCATTCGGCAGCCTTCCACCCTACAATAGTATAAGGTGTCATTCTTTGAAGCTTCCGTCCCATCCACAAAGGCCTTGAGTCCTGCTGTCACTTTGCTGCTTCCCAGGGAATAAGGATTGTCATTCTGGCAGCCAAATGTGAGAAAAGTTCACACTAGATTTGCCTTCTAAACGTGGCATAAATTTTTCATTATGTTGAAAACGTTTGAACTATCCTCACATTCTACAAACCACACATGTCTCAAAATTGGAGGTGTCATTTTATTTTTTCATATATATATGTATATATGTGTATATATATATGTATACATATATGTTCTTTTTAATAGTGATTTTGGTACATACATAGAATGTGTTTTGATCAAATCCAAGCTCCATTCCCTCTCTTTCAGTTCTTCGCCTGTTCGCCCAAGGCTTTTTCCTTGTGCTCTCTTTTTAAGGACCCACGGAGTCCATTTAACTGTGCCCATATGTGCATGGCTGTAGAGCCATCAACTGGAGTATGGGTAGCCTCTCGCTTCCAGAATCCCTGAAAATGGTCTCCCTCCCACAGTAGTCATTAGCATCCAAAAGTTTCTCAGGTAGGGATGAGACTCCATGATCCTCCCCCACACTTATGCTAGGATTTCTGCTGGCTTGATCTCATATAGGTCTGTGCATGTGGTCACAGGCAACAGTTCACATGTGTAACAGCCCTCTCATGCCTAGCAAATAATGGTTTCCACTACCTCTGACATTCAGAATCTTTCCACCTCCTCTTCTGTGAGATCATTTTCATTTCTAAAATATTCTGGAATGTTTTAAAATGCCCACACATAGTCAACAGCAAATGGAAAATAACTTTCTGTGGTTTACACCTTGCTCCTTCGCAGGATAGCATGCCAAGCCCATGGAGCATATGAACATCCCCATTCTTCATTATGCTCTGAGATCCAGTTCTGCTTTTATGGAGCAAAACAAGAAATATCAAGTACTGCTTAACACATTCATGCTAATAGCTGCCTATCCAAGATAGATCTGTATATATATTCCACATGTGATCTTAATGATTTCCTTAACTTGAGAGACAAAATTAGAGTCTTCTTTCCAAGTGGAGATAAAGAGTTAAATATGTTCTGAGGCTTGTATTTTTATTGATAGAATGAATAGTATTCATTAGTCATTTATTTATAATTCTGAAAGCTATATCAGTTTTAATCTGTCTTAAATATGTTTGCAGAGTGCTGGTTTGGTTCACAATTTCTGGATCAGTAGGTCTTTATTATTCAACATTTAACATATTTGAGTTTTCTGAAATTCATACTGAAAGATTTAGAATATATTTGGAATTGTTATTAAGTAGCATGCCTTTGGGCTCAGTTCAAAACTCTCTTAGTGAGAACCGAGACACTCTTAGTTTTTCTATTTCACTAATGTCAAAATTATAGATAATGGGACAGTGAGATGGCTCAGCAAGTAGAAGCACTTACTATCAAACCTGAGGGAGAGATTGATTTAGGATCCACATAGTAGGAGAGAACCAACTCTTAAGGTTTCATTCTGACCCCCACATGCACACAGTAACACATATGCATATCCATACACTAATACATTTTAAAGATTATAAGACATACTTTATAGGCAGCATTTGACATGACATTATTGTAAGTTGTTCATAAATGGAGCTGTTGTTATTTCTACTACAATTTGAATCTCTGGTAAAGCAAGTTACATTTCTTTAATCCGCTGTACAACAGAAAAAATAAATTTTGGTTCATTTTAAATATTTTAATATTTTTATTTTTTAGGTAGCATATAAAATTCTATGTCTTATTTCATTACATTTTCATACTTTGCTTATATGTGCTCTTTTGTCCTTTCCCTTGTTACTTTTCTCCTCCGTCTGTTCCGTTGGCCACTTTCCCTCATGATGTAGTTTCTTTCCTGTTTAATATCATATACACATACACATATACTTAAACTAGATTCTACATGTGAAAGAAAACATGATATTTGCCTTTTCAATCTCTGCTTTTATAAGAAAACAAAAGAGTTTGAGGAAAAATTATTTTTCACACAACTGATGCTAAATGGCACAGGACATGAAACCAGGGTTCATATGTGGGGTGTGAGTCCATTTAAGGAATATAATCTTCCTGAAATCCATGTTCATCTGTTGTTCAGGAAGAATTTCTAACATATCCTTTTATTGACTAGGATGATTGTTTTTATAAACACACGAATATAACAACTCATTTTCATATTTCTTACAGAAAAGGGCAAATGTATGATTTTTTGCCTGGAAATTATCAGAAAAGGAACCAGTAGGAAGGATTAGGAGACTTGACAGAAGTGGAAAATTGTATTGTAAAGCTAAGAAGTTCCCATATATAGTCAACCTCAGACTCTACCCTGTTCTCTAACAATGCAGGAGAGAGGTTTATGGGACAATAGCCCTATTATATTTCAAAGAAGATAGATACAGATGGTGAGGGGGTTACTTGTGAATTTGTTTGGAGTACAAATATAGAGATGTAATCACTAACTCTCCTGTGTTATTTTGTTGCTTTCTTTGTTTAGTTACTTAAGGTAGGTTTCATGCACCCCAGGCTGCACTTAAACTCCTTATGTGGCTGAGGATGACTTTGAGCTTCTGATTCTCCTGACTGTAACTCCAGAATTCTGGAATTCCAGGTGAACGCTACCACATCTAGATTTATTGGGTGCTAATGGAGCCCAGGGTTTCACATGTACTAGGTAAGCACTGAAGCTACATCAGCAGCTAAAATCAGGAATATTTTTATGATTCTACATATGAAAAGACTTTATTCCATCTAGGGAAAAGATAGGTTATCTCTTTCTTATGTACCATGATGTAGTATATTACTTGTTGAAGAACTATATAACTTTATTTTTTGTCCTAGAATTCTGAGGTTTATTAATTACATCCCTATTGAATGTGGTACTTATACTAGTGAGGATCTTCAAGGAAATACAGTCCATAGTGTGTGTGTGTCTGCCTGTCTGTCCATCTATGGTGAAGTGTCCTGCCAAACTGGAATCTGAGAAACTGGAGAGCCATGGTATGAATTCTATTTTCAAGCCAAGCGTTAAGATAGGAGAATAATACATCAGGTCAGTAACCATCATGCAGGACAAAAGAATTGCTTTTTACTAAGCCTTGGATTCCCACCCACTTTAGAAAGGCACTTCTGGTTTATCAGGTGAGCTAATCAAAACCCAGACACATCATTGCAGACATACCTATATTAGTGTTGACCCACGCACTCAGTGTGCTGGTTAGTTATTGTCATCTTGACACAGTGAGAGTCACTTGGGAATATGGAACTTCAATTGAAGAATTTCTTCCATCAGATTAGCCTGTGACAATGTCTGTGAAGCATTTTCTTAACTGATGTGGGAGGGCTATCCCCCCATGGGTGGTGCCACTGCTAGGCACGTTTGTTTGGCTCAGCACTCTATAAGGAAGGTACCTGAGCAAGTCAGGGGAAGCAAGCCACTAAGTAGTGTTCCTCCATGTTCTGCTTTAGTTCCTGCACTGGTGTCCTTTGGTGACGAACTATAACTTGTACCATGAAAGAAGCCCTTTCCTCTCCAAGTTGCTTTTGGTCATGGTGTTTCTCACAAGAAAGAAAGGGCCCAGTCAAGGTGACACATACAATTAAGTAAAACCATATTCTTTTTGCTGATAGTAATTTTATTGTAATTCTATCCAATTTTGTAGTGAAATGATTAAAATTTTTCTGAATTTATTTATAAAATTAAATGTTGGCATTAGGGTATTTTGAACCAAGAAGTCTGACTTTACTTTTTAAAGACAGCATCTCCTTCTAACCCCAGCTGGCCTTGAACTAAGGACCAGTCTGTCCTTGATCCACCCGCCTCTGCCTTGGGAATTCTGGGATTAAAGTCATACCCCAGCACACCTGGAAATACTGACAATTTTGAGCTTCAGTAGAACAGTTTCTGCTATAAAGCAATGTTTCACAACCCTGAACGAACCACACATGTAGTAACATGCTTTCCATTTATTTTTTTCTACATCTTCAATGATAATTTGGAGATTTCCTAACTGGTACTTACATTACAATATTTGAGTATGCGTTCTCAAATTGCCAAGAAATCTGAAAGATTTAAGCCCATCTCCCAGTGCCACATGGAGAAACCATGGTGCATTAGGGAAGTGCCTAGGAGCAAATGCTATAATAAAAATTTACCTTTCAGTGAAAATTAACAATTCAATCAATTAAGCTAACTTTCATAATAATTTGTAAAATCTTTACCTAATAATAGTGT